TCACGTCCCAAGATATTTGTTGGCCCATTTAGGTTCAATTTGTATGGCATGGGACCCCAACAATGACCTCACATAAGACCATATGGGTGCGGCCCAGCCTCTGTGAAAAGACCTAGCTGAATTCACTGTCAAGTACAGTGAACTCTCGAGTCCATCAGTATGGGCTCTTAATGGGCCCAACATTTACAATTAAAAGATCCTTGAGTCTAGCCATCCTATGAAGGCCCAAGGATAATAGACTTTAAGTAAGATATAACCCATCAGGTAAACAACCCTTAATGGTCTCTTACACTCAACCTCTTAGCCCATAATGATCAATCATTGGCCGACTGGGAAGGACCTCTCCCCTGATTGCAAGGTGTAGTGTTGCACTCTCTGCTCTGATGGGTCCCGGGAATTAAAACCTTTTGCAAACCCTTTTTCTTAAAACATAATATATATATTATCATATAAATATATTTTGCAAAACAAATCTCAAACACGATTGAAATTGACCGCCGACAGTTTTGGTTTCCATCAAAGAGAATGCATTCTCAATCATTCACTTTGTCCGACAAAGGGGCTGATCCTATCACTATGATCACCCACTTGAGTGAATTCTCAGGCTGTCCCAACATACCCAAGTTTTGACCCCCAAAGGATCTCACTAATTGGCATATCAAAGACAGCTCGATTCGACACCCAGTGCAATACCATAATCAAGTCTAGGGGTTATATGTGTAACTTTCCAATTTTGCCCATCAGTCTCCAAGGTCCAGGGCATAATTAGAAAATGGTTTGGGTTCAGTGCTTCAAACAAACACACACTACATGTGCTTCAGGTCTAACCCTAGTAGCTGAGACAAGCTGCCCCAACTTCTTTGGCAGCACATTAGTGTCAGCCTTTGCAGGATAAACTCTCTAAATCTATCCAACTACTGAGAACATTCTAAACTAACACGAGTCTCATAAGTGTCCAGTTTAAGGGGTAATTACACAGAAACACACCAATGATAATATGAAACAATTATGTACTATCACTCATTTACAATAAATGTATCAATACATCAATCTGATTGGAGTTAAGGGCATACACTGTCTAACAGTTCTTATGGGGCTTGTGTATGGAAAGGCATTATGAAGTTTAATCACGTCGGGGGTTTGGAGAGCTTTAGGGTGGGGGATGGGGCTAGAGTAAGGTTCTAGGGAGATGATTGGTGTGGTTTGTGGAAATGTGAGCTTTGTTCGAGACTATACAGGCTGACTGAACAACAGATGGTTTTGGGAATTTGGTCAGGTGTCCTAAATTCATAAGATCTTTGTTGGATCAAGAGGTGGAGGAGTGCATCTTATTATTAGACAAACTAGAACAGCGCAGATTATCAGCATCCACTAGTGATGGTTTGTGGTGGAAGGAATGTACGGATGGAAAGTTCTTGGTGAAGTCCTATTTGGCTCTGATCAAAGAGAATTTGACTTCTGACCAAGTAGGAGTGTGGGATAGCCCTATTCCCCCAATAGTGGAGGCTTTTTCCTGGCTGGTTGCCTTAGACAGCATCGTAACAACAGACCATCTAAAGTGCAGTGTTGTGAAGTGGCTAACTTCATTTGGCAGTACTACTCTTTCCTGTTTGGCATTCTGGATTTTCAACCTTCCTAACCTGCAGAAATATTTTCCTCTTGGCCAAAATTCAGAGAAAGGAATAAAGCAAGAATTGTCTGGAGCTGTATCCCCTTTGCTGTGTATTGAACATTATTGAAGGAAAGGAATAGGAGGCTGTTTGAAGACAAATCAAAAGGCATTGAAGCTTTGGTGGCCTCAGTAGGAAAGCTGGTTTCAAGCTGGTCACTGGTCCTTCCAGATTTTGAGCAATTTAACAGTGCAGATTAGGTGGAAAATTTCTGGGAAATTCCTGAAATTCAAACTTATAATGTAAACTTGTTTCTTAGTGATTAATGGTATGGTGTGTCATCTTGGCACCAAGTCAGATTGTACTTCTCTTCTTATTTTAATAAATTTCTTCTTTACTCTTCAAAAAAGTTATTTGAGGGTGTCACTACAGATTTGTTGTCAAGGAGTTGGAAGGAAGTAACTAATTCATCCCCATTTCAAATGAAGATTAGTCCTTTGTGGTCTCCGCCAGCTTCTAGTTTATAAACTTGAACTTTGTTGGAAGTAGTGAAGGTAATCCAGGACCCTCGGGCATTAGAGGAACGTTCAGAGATGAGGAAGGGAAAGCTATTGTTATGTTTTGAGGACCAATTGGTGTAGGGGAGTCACTTAGAGCTGAGGTTATGGCAGTGATAGAAGGGTTAAAGAAGGCTAATGAATTGAATATTAAAAAGTTAATTGTTGGAGACTCAAAATTGGTTATAGGCTGGTTGCAAGAGGAAAATGGATTATGTAGAGATTCAGCTGCAATGGGTTAAGAGAAGTGCTAATCCCTTTGCTTGCTAAACAGGGGGTGGGAAGGGATCAAATGTAGTTCTGGGCTGTATTGTAATTCTGTTTTTTTTTTTTATTTCTTGGGGAGGATTGAGGGTTAAGAGATTTTACCTCTCCCCTTGCTTCCTCTGTACCTTTCTATTAATCCCTTAATAAAATTTTCTGTTATTGATAAAAGAAAAAGAATAACATGGAGTTCACTATCTTTATCTCCATTGTCTCCAGCTGTAGTACCGAGTATCTGTTCAGGAACAAGAAAGGAGAAAATCCTAATAGTAAGGTCATTTCTTCTTATTGTACTGCTTTTTTTTTGAAAAATGTATAATTTTCTGGATTAAGGATTTTCTTTTTCTGCTTTCTTGATTTTCTGGATTAAGCATTTCCACACCTTTCTCAAAGTGTGAAAATGGTCATGGGTTTTCAATTTGGGTATTAAGATCTTTGATTTGCAAAAGGTGTACTTTTGACTTCTTTTTATTCCATAGCTGCTTACTGTTTTTTTATATATTTTTTTTCTCTGCGTTTATGTCGATTCTGTTTTCTTAGTTCTTCTGTTTGGAAGAAAAACATGTATGGGTTTAAGATTTTGCACCTTCTTTTGCTTTGTACTAGCACAAGGTTTAACCAAGTATGACAGGTTTCACCTTTTCCTTTTTCCCCCTCCTCACTTTCGGTTTCTTCATCTCTGTTGGTTTTGTTTTAATTTTTTGGTTTTTCTTTCAATTTATGCTTGTGGGTGGCTTTCTTTTTCTGATTCTTCAGAGTTCAGATAGTTCGTTGTTCTTTCTCAACAAGAGCATTATTCGAATTGGTGGGTGCTTAAATCATTTCTTAGCACTTCCATGCATGTCCTTTTTGTTCTGCCCCTAGCTCTTCTAGCCCCTTCAACTTGTAACAGATCGCTTTTATTGGGTTCTATAGATGGCCTTCGATGCAGATGACCAAACCATCTCAGTCTACTTTCTCTCATCCTTACTATATAAGCATTCTTACTTATAATATTAATATTTATAGTAAATATATTAACATATATTTTATTTTTTATATCATTATTTATAATTTGGCTTTTGGTTGAGTTCAGTTGAAAATTTTGACCATACCGAACCAAGAACCAAACAAACCAAACTGAAATAGCTTATTTGGTCTGGTTAGGTTTGGTTATCAGTTCAGTGACTGAACTTGAGCACCTCTAGTTATGACCATCCTTCTGATGAGTCTATTGTGGTATTATGGGTGAAATTTTGGGAGATCTGTAGTGGGGAGATGTACGTTTTTGTTGGGCCAATTTTCTCTTTCACCTTTAAAAACAAACCTGATTTGTGCCACCCATAAGTGAGGGACTTTCTTTGGGGGATGCTGACACTCCTTTTGTATTAAATCTGTTGGATGAACTCATGTGGGTATTTCTTCTATCCAATGGTTAAGACAAAAGAATTTTGGCCCCCTTTCTTCTATCCTTTAAACCCTTGTCCCATCTATATGGAGTTGGTTAGATGAATCATATCTTGCCATTTCAATCTGTTCTGTGCTATATCCATAATTAAATTATGGATGCTTAAATCATTTCTTAGCACTTGCACGCATGCCGTCTTTGTTCTGCCCCTTGCTCTTCTAGCCCCTTGAACTTGTAACAGATTGCTTCTTAACGGATTCTGTAGTTGGTCTTCAATGCACATGACCAAACCATCTCAGTCAACTTTCTCTCATTTTGTTACCTATTGGAGCTACTCCTTGGTTCCTTTGTATGACTTCATTTCTGATACTGTTCTTTCTACTTATAACACTCCTAGCTATTAGAGATGGTAATGTGAAGATTCTTCTCAGCTTCTCAAATCCGGTGTGTGTTGGAAACTTGGTAAGAGCAAAAATATTGATTTTAATTAAAGGGTTACCATTGCTGAAGGGGACTGTCAAGTGGTCAACAACTGGCTGAGATCAGAGAAATAAGTCCCATGGATCTTCAAATTTAAGGCTGAAGACCTAAATGCCTTGGTCAGGTGCGCCCCAAAGATAGCAAGCAGCTTAGCCATCATCTGGTGAGAACAGTAGTCAACAGAAATGTTATTGGTTGGGGAATTCCAGGACCTAGGTCTGATTTACAATTTTTTTTCTTTTTTTTTCTTTCTATCTGCTTTGGACAACTTAATGTTATTATATTGTACTTTGTCAACCATTTTTTTGATAAGTACTTTGTTGGCCAGTTTTTGTTATTTTGGTTTCTTTTCTAAATAATATTAATATAGTACTGTTGCTTATTGAAAAAAGGAAATTCACTGCAAACAGCCTCCACCTTCTCTAACTGAACAGTTAGTACATAGATCTGATTATGTTTATGATAAAACAGTTTTTGTTGGTTGCCTGAGGCTTTTTAGTATTTGGCTGAAGATATCATTATATTGTGTATTGCTTTCTTCCCTGCGATTGTATTGAAGTGATAATTTTATTACTTGAATTAGATATTACATTTTCCTTATGATAGCCAATAGGATATTAGATGCTTCATTCTGAATTTGTTATCTTCTATATCTTGCAATCGTAAATATTAAATCTCTGATATACTATTCTGTTCTTGCAGGCTAGGAAGAACCTGTCCATGGAGTCAATTGACTCTTCTGGTGAAGAAGAGTATGTTATCACACTCTGACAACTGTTGCCCTGAAAATGTGTAACATTTATATGCTTATTTAACTAATATGGGGTAATGGTTTGGCAACATTTTGGAAGGTCCTTATTATGCAGATAGCATTTTCTAGAAACTAGGAGTTGTGGCATGACCACTGTATTGTATCCTCTAATATATATGAGATATATCATGTGGTTAATGAAGTGTGGCATGACCACTTCATTAACATTTTGGAAGGTCCTTATTATGCAGATAGCATTGTCTAGAAACTAGGAGTTGTGGCATGACCACTGTCTTGTATCCTCTAATATATATGAGATATATCATGTGGTTAATGAAGTGTTTAAGACTTCTGAACTTTGGCACTTGATCAGACATAATAGTTCTGAGGAAACTAGTGACATGAGATTCCCAGTAAAACATGGTACTAAAAATCAGTCCGCATCTTGATGTTTTCCATGCAATGTTTCCATTTCTCTACTGCCAGACATGCCATATAATTGCTGCAAGGATGCACCTCTAAATCTTCTTTCCCCATCTTCTGAGGCCCTTGAGCACCAACCCATCCAGCCAATCTAACAAGGAATGGGGGCACACCCAGCTAATGCTCACCAGCCTTTCAAAGAAACACCAACTCCTCCATACAGCAGGGCAATGGGTGGCAAGAGGTGTCCCTCACCTTATGATTGAACATCACACAGCTCAAGCTTCCAAGCTAAACCCTCTTCTACTCTGGTTATGCTTGATATGACATTTAACCATGCACTGATGTCCAACAAATGAAGGCTACATTGGTAGGAACACCTGGAACCCAAACTATCTTGCAAGGATGATTTGGATGCAGACCAATAGGCAGATTTTTAACACAATAATACCTCATAGAAAACACCAGATTTCTCCCATTTCCAGATTGGGCTTTCACTCTTGCAAGCAAGTCTCCCACATCTTGCAGCTCCCGTTTAAAAAAATACTTTTCAACTTGGGAACCGTCATCACTTTCTCATTTACCATTTCATAACAGTCAGCTATACTGCAGTTTTTTGGGAACTGCAACGGTCAACATTGACCATGCTTGTCATTTCAACCAAGCTTTACTCTGCAAGCTACATAGTGGTTTTGTTGCTTATATTCTGTTCATTTTTCCATTATCATCAATGGATTTCAACTCTGGACATTACTTTTTGTAGAGATGATGGGCCGAATTGGCATAGTTTCTTTCTTTTATTTAAAGCACTGTTCATGACTTAGTTTGTTATTAGTGGGCCTTAGTTATGGGCATGTTTCATTTTTATTATTACCTTTCATGTGCTGGCCACCCTACTAAGGGTATTCATGTAATTAATTGTATTCACATTATAATAAAAGATATTTTAAGGGGCTGAAGAGAGATTTGATTGTCTCTCTTCTTCCTTTTCTTCCTTTTCTTCCTTTCTCTTAGATGTGAGTTTGTCCTTCAAATCTGATATAAAACTGATAAAAGAAATAAGGAAAAGTAAGAGAGAAAGAAAGGTTACAGCAGAATAGAAGAGAAAGAAGAAGAGAGTTTGATGGATCTCTCTCCCTTCACTAATCTTTTATTAAAATTAATTAATCATGCTAATTACAAGTCTGCCCTTTAAGTGGGCGACCAGCAAAGCAGTAACTTAAAAGAACTTAAAAAGAGGTTAACTGGCCCATTAAGAAAAGGCCCATTAACACATAAAATAGATATAACATTATTTAAACGTAAAAGAATATTAGGACTCATTTGGCCCAGTCTCTCTACACTCCTCCTCAAGTTGAGCATAGATGTCAATCATGCCCAGCTTGCTTATATAGTCTGTCAGCTTTCCTTTTGGAACACCTTTGGTCAAAATATCAGCCAACTGCTCTTCTGAAGCAATAAATGGCAAGCAGACTTCCCCTAAAGCAACTTTCTCCCTTATGAAATGCCTATCAACCTCWATGTGCTTAGTTCTGTCATGTTGAACAGGATTATGCGCAATGTTGATAGTTGTCTGGCTGTCGTAATAGAGCATCATCGGCTTTTCATAGTCAATACCCAACTCTCCCAAAAGTGATCTCAACCACAATAATTCTGACACTCTATATGCCATTGCCCTGTACTCTACTTCAATTGAGGATTTGGCAACTACAGACTATTTCTAACTTCTCCATGAGACAATGTTCCCTGCCACCAAAGCACAATGTCCTTAGGTGGATCTCCTATCATCAATACATCCGGCCCAGTTAGCATCAATGTATGCCTTTAGCTTCATGTATCCATGCTTGGCAAACAAAATACCTTTCCCTGGAATGCCTTTCAAGTAGCACAAAACTCTTTTTGTAGCTGCTAAATGTGTATCTCTAGGAGAATGCATAAACTGACTAATAACACTTACTGCATAGGAAATATCTGGTCGAGTCATGCAAAGTTATAACAACTTCCCAAGCAGTATTTAGAACACTCCCCTATCAATCAAACAATTCACCATCAATAGCAGAAAGCTTATGGTTTAGGTCTATAGGGGTGAAAGTCGGTTTAGCACCAAATTTACTGGTCTCTACAGGGAGATCAAGAACATACTTGTGTTGAGAAAAGATACCATCCTTAGATCTAGCAACTTCAATTCCCAAGAAGTATCTGAGATCCCCCAAATCTTTTATCTCAAATTCAGTGTTAAGAAATCTTTTGAGCTTAATCACTTCCTGAGTGTCATTACCAATAACCACAATGTCATCAATATAAACAATTAGAAAAAGTCACCAAAGAGTTCTCTTCACAAACAAAGTATGGTCAGATTGAGTCTGTGTATAACCAAAAGAAACAAGGGCAACTCTGGATCTCTCAAATCGGGCTCTAGGGGGTTGTTTGAGACCACAAAGAGACTTCTTCAATTTGCACACCTTTCCTTTCCATACACTCTTGTAGGTAAAGACATATAGACCTCTTCATGTAGGTCTCCATTCAAGAAGGCATTTTTAACATCAAACTGCCCCTGGAGGCAAAGACATATAGACCTCTTCATGTAGGTCTCCATTCAAGAAGGCATTTTTAACATCAATCCAGTGAAGGGGCCAATCAAAAGTAGCAACTAGAGACAATAAAACTTGAACTGAAGTCATTTTAGCCACAGGAGCAAAAGTCTCAAGGTAATCAATACCATACATCTGAGTGTAACCCTTAGTAACCAATCGAGCCTTAACCTCTCAATAGTGCCATCAGAATGATATTTAATAGTGAATACCCATTTACAACCCACTAGTTCCTTCACTTCAGGCAAGTCTAGGATATTCCAGGTATGGTTCTTATGCAAAGCATCTAGCTCAGTCATCATAGCATTCCTCCATTCAAGTTTGGACAAGGCTTTTGGTACAGTCGTAGGAATCACATAGGTAGAAACAGAGGCAAGAAAAGAATAATAAGTAGGAGATAGAAGGTTGTAGGACAAATGTTTAGAGATACAATGTGATGTACACTTCTGTTTGCCTTTGCGAAGGGCAATAAGAAGGTCAAGGTCTAGGAAGGTAGTAGGTGGGTCAAAGGAAGGCTGACCCGTTACCTCAGTAGTGATGGGAGGTGCAAGAAGCTCTGAGGAAGGAGTGGAAACAACATGCCCATGCTTGAATCTATCTTTGAGACCACCTTTGGAGAATAGGATGTGAAGAAAATATAGGAGGATGAGTTGGGGGAGGAGGGGGAGCAGGAAAATGTGAGGTAGACACAGTGGAAGGAGAGGCAATAGAAGAAGATGACTTGACAGAAGACTCAAAAGGAACTAGAAGAGGAACAATTGGAGACATAGCAAATGATTCCTCAGAATGCTCCCCCTTAGGAGGAATACCAAAGAAAGGAATAGACTCAGCAAAAGTGACATCCCTAGAGACAAAGCAGGTGCCATGAACTGGATCAAAACAGCAATATCCCTTCTGTGTGGAGACATATCCTAGAAAAATGCACTTATGTGCCTTGGGCTTAAATTTGTCTCTAATGATTATGAACATGTACATAGCAAGTGCACCCAAAAACTCTAAGAGGAGGAGAAAAGAGATCCTCATCCGAAAAGAGAAGGCTAAACGGGGTCTTGAAACCCAGAACTTGGGAAGGCATACGATTAATCAAAAAAGTGGTAGTAAGGACAACATCCCCCTAAAATTTAATAGGAACATGAGATGCAAAAAGGAGGCATCTAGCAACCTCAACCACATGGCGGTTCTTCCTTTCCGCTACTCCATTCTGTTGTGAAGTGTAGGAACAAGAACTCTGATGAATAACCCCAAAGGTCTCAAAGTAGGATGAGAGGTTCTTCTCAAAATATTCCTTATTATTATCAGATCGGAATATTTTGATCTAGGTGTTAAACTGGGAAAGGATAAGTTCATTAAATTTTTGCATAATAGTTGGTACTTCATCCCGGGATCTCATGAGATAAATTCAAGTATAGCGAGAATAATCATCAATAAAGAGAATAAAATATTTATAACCCCCCCATAGTAGGCAAATGATATGGCCCTCACACATCAGAGTGTACAATATATAAAGGAGAATTAGATCTTTTATTGCTTACTGAATAAGAATGTCTACAATGCTTCACAAGCTCACAAGACTCACAATGAAGACTCGATAAAGATATTTTCTTAAACATATCAGGAAACAAATGACTCAAAGCAGGAAAAGGTACATGACCAAACCGTAAATGACATAACACGACTCTATCAATAGATTCTGACAAAACAGACTCCAAAGCAATTCCATTAGGTGGTCCAAGGCTCCTATCAGGTGTGTCCAACAAGTATATTCCATTCGCCTCATGGCCACTCCCAATCGTCCTCTGGGATTTCAGGTCCTGAAAAACACAATGGGTAGGAAAAAAGGTTATGCTACAGTTCATGGATTTAGTCAAGCTACCAACAGATAAAAGGTTGGTATTAAGCTTGGGGACATGAAGGACAAAGGATAAAACAAGGGTGTCAGAGGCCTTGATATCTTCTTTGCCATAGATGGGAGCAAGAGACCCATCTT